AAAATTAATAAAATATAGAAAAAAAAAAGAAACACTAAAAAAAAAAGAAATTTCTAATTTCTTAATGTGTCTCTCTTGGGCATCTGTAGTACAGAACTATATACTTTTTTCCCCTACCCTTGTTTTACTTCAGCAGATAAAATATGCCCTGTATTATTCTTCAAATTCCGATTCTTGCTACATACTTTATAGTTAATAACTTTAGCATTACCATTAATGGTAATACTGTAATTTTTGTATAATTAGAAATTTGCTGTCTCTTTTCATAATTGATCTACTTAATATAGGTATAATATTGGGGAGCACTGGGGACCTAGTGGCAAGAAGCTTTGCTGCAATCCTAATGGCACACAGTTCTAATCCTCCAGCTGCTCTGCGGAAGAAGGCTGAGCAGTCTCCTCCCATGCAATCAACTGCTTCTGAAAACCCACCAGAGGGTCAGCTATGGGTTGTTTCTGAGTTGACAGTACACAGTAACATCTGAAAACCCACTGGAGAGTCAGCTATGGGTTGGTTCTGAGTTGATGGTACAGAGTAACACCCTTTTTAAGGCACAAAGTTTATTTATTCGTGTTTTTAATTTTTAATTATTTTCATAGAATGAGGAAAGAATTCACATGTAAATTTAAGGTACTTATGATTAGTAGTTGTTTAATATAAATATTTGTTCCATTAAAAGGCTTTCAAATGTGAATAAAAAAGAAAAATCACCTGTAATCTCAAGTCGACAGATAAAGCATCATTATGATGATCCTACATGTTCAGAATTTATCTATGCCTTTGTGTACAAAGGGAGTTCTGGTTGCTTAGTGCTAAGAAGTGCTACCAAGCCAAAGGCAATACATTCTACTCCACCAGTTTCTCCATGGGAGAAACATGGGCAGTCTCCTCCTGTATGATTGGTTTACTACCTCTGAAAACTCCCTGGAGAGCTAACTATAGATGGGTTCTGACTTGACAGTACATAATTTGTACATTGATACTAAAATTCAAGGTAGGTATAGTTGCTGAAGACTGTGAGCCCAAGTTTGCCTTCTCTTTATGAAAAAGAGATTAATTTCTCTTTACTCACAGGTAGATTATACTTTAACGCTATTTTATACATATTCCTGTGTCATAAACATCTTCATTGTTAATAGTGTTTGCATTAGTTTATTGTATAGGTTCATCATAGTTTACATAATTATGTCCAACATGTAATGGCTCAATTTTAAATAACATTTGATAACATTCTAAAACTTCCTACCTTTTTCAGTTTTGTTTTAGCCTTCTTTGTGATAACCCAGAAAGTCTATTTGATGCTGAAGTCATTGTTATGCACTGTTGAGTCAGAACCGATTCAGAGCTGACCTCCCAGTGGATTTTCAGAGGTTGTAAATCACACAGAACAAGATTGCCCATCTCTTTGGTGGGTTCAAACTACCTGTCTTTAGGTTGGCAGCACAGCTCCTTACCAGTAGGCAGGCCAACAACCTTCTAACATTTGCCCGATTTTCTTATAGCCACCAACTATAACATCTACTAAAAATGTAAATATTTTAATTATATTTACTTGTATTGTCACTTAAAAGAGCGGGTGAAAGGACAGGGTAATGATGGACAAAGTCCAGTGGTGATTACTATTATAAAACAGTGCATGAGAATTATTGTATGAGAAATAGTATGAAACACAGTGTACATAAACTTTGTAAGCAAACCAATAAAAAAAACCCAAAAAAACCAGAATTATGCTGACTTAATTTTCTAAAAGGGACAAGAAGTTTTCTTTTACAGTAAATTTACGAGAAAATATAATAAATACTCTGGTTTAAACATATAAAGTAAATAATAAATATAGGAACTCTGATAGCTTAGTGGTAAAAAGCTGCCCTGCAATTCCGAAGACACCCAGTTTGAATCTACCAGCTGCTCTTTGGATGAAGGACGGGCAGTCTCCTTTCATGTGATTTACTGCCTCTGAAAATCATGGAGGATCAGCTATGGATTGCTTCTGACTTGACAGTACATGACAACAACAGAATATAACAAAAAATCTGATAGAGATAATATAAATTAGCAAGGACTGGGAAACACTATGTTTGATGTTTAAGTTATTTCTAAATTTCCCCCATTATTTGCAAGGCTACAGTGAGCATTAAGCATTTTTTCATGGGTTTATTACCCTTTGTGTACATTAGTTATATTCCAGAAATTTCATATTGCAAATAAATGCATATTTGTGTATTCATGTAATCCCAAATTCAGAAATTATACTCTCACCAGGTGATAAATGAGAGTGTTGTTTTATTCTTCCCAACTTTGGGCTAGTTTGTTTTCTTTATATTTGGCATTTTCCGTTCCTTCTTTTCAGTATTTGTGTAATACTTGTTGTTATGTACCATCGAGTCACCTGAGACTCATAAAAACTCTATGTAATAGCTCTGAGCCCTGCTCTATACTGAGCCAGTCTCACTGTCTCTGACACACCTACCGCCATGACCCCAGGCACTGTGCCAACCCATCTCGTCTGGAGTCTTTCTCTCCTTCACTCTCCCTCCACCCTTCCAAGCATGATGTCCTTCTTCAAGGACTGGTCCCTCCTGGTTATGTCCCCAGAGTATGTGTGTCAGAGCTTCAAAATCCTTGCCTCCTCAGAGAAACTTGGTTTCACCCTTTCTAAGACAGACCTGTTTGTTCTTGTGGCAGTCCAAAATGTGTTCAGTAGTCTTCTCCAGCACCACAACTCAAAGGCATCAATTCTTCTTCTGTCATTGTTGGTCGTTGTCTAGTTCTTTGATGCATAGAAAGTAATTGGGAAGACAGTGGACTGAATCAGGCCCACCTTAGTCTCTAGACTGATATTATTGTTCTTTAGCACTTTGCATAGGTCCTTGACAGCAAATGCAGTCTGTCTTTTGATTTCCTGGCTGCAGGTGCTAAAAGTGTTGTTTGTGGAGCTAAACACACTGAAATTGTTCACATTCTCAATCTTTTCTCCATCCATCATTGTGCTGCCAATTGGCCCAGTGGTGAGAATCTTTGTGTTCTTGATGTTGAGCTTCAATCCATATTGAAGACTGCAGTCCTTGACCTCTGCAACATGTAGGCATACCTGATTTCTTTGCAATTCAGTAGTTATTTTTTCTTATGTTAAAGCCAGTAGGTAAGGAGTTGCACTCCAACCAAAAAGCAGTCAGTGTTAACTCACCAAGTTGCTCCGCTGGAAAGAGATGAGCAGCTTCCTCTCACGCAAATTACAGTCTCTGAAAATCTCCTGGAGGGTGAGCTGTGAGTCACTTCTGACTCTTGTAGAAATAAGAGGAGCAGTTGCCCTTTACTTTACAGTCATTTTAATTTGGTGATAGTTGTACGTTTTAAAAATTTTGTCTTCAGAGCTGTGTATATTTTAGTCACGATTTAAAAAATTATCTTTGATAGTGGCATTTTTTCCCCCCTTGTAGCTTGCTGAATTTCGACAGAGGAAAGCTCAATCTGATGGGCAGAATCCTTCCAAAAAGCAGAAGAAAAAGAAGAAAACCTTGAGTAGTAAACCAGCTGTGTCAGCCTGTCCTGCCATGAATATCGATCCATCACAAATTGATGAGGTGTTCAGGAAAAATTCTCAGACAGTCGGATCAGCCAGGACTGCTGAGTCCACAGGAATGAGAACGTCACACAGTGAGGTTATCAAGCACGACCAGGTCTTCTCTGTTGAAGTAAGTATTCTTTCATATTTTTAAATACTATTAGATCTAAATATAAAGTTGTGGTAATGATAATACTCAATACCCTCTGCGCTTAGATCATGGGTATTTTTTTCCTTTTGAAAATTTCAGTAAGATAATAACAAAACCATAATGCCTAAAATACTCAGCAACTTCTGAAAGAGAGATGGATGAACTGGACTCAACAAACATTTCTTGAGCAACTGTGGCTGGCTGTACTCAATGGATACAAAGATGACTGTAACTTTCTGCCCTTTGGAGAAATCAGTGTCGTGGGGAAGGCAGGTGTTCAGAAATGCAGTGCACTTTGGTTAGAATTTAACAGCATCCCAGGCTTCCATCCATTGGATGCTGGTAACAACCCCTCTCAAGCTGGGACAAACCGAAAGCTCTCAGAAACAATTTTGAAGATGGCTAAATTTTTACGCTAACTCAAATTTATTTATTTTTTTATACAAATAGGTATCTTTTTGCCTAGTTTTTTTCTGAAATTCTCAGACAAATTCTCCATCAAAAATATTTTAAAATAGGCTCTTAAAAAGGAAAATATTTGTCAGGAATTTCACTGCATATCTTTCAACCCAAAATTAAACATTGCCTTTAATTTCACCTTATTTTCTGCAGTATTTTCTGGGTTGTTGATAATGAAATAAAGCCCAAATGAAAAACTTTTCCTGTGTAGAATAAGGATCTCATGTATACCAAGAGACTTAAGTCAGTTCACATCAATAGTACATCATAACATTATTCACAGTGACATTTTTTTTTCACAGTGACATTTTATTCCAGCTGTATTTAATATTAATTACAAGTTCTATTAAGCAACATTCTGTCATCTTTAACAAGTAAAAGTAGTAATCAGAGCAAAGAGTGGAATAGTAGTCTCTTGTCTCAGTTTTCCATTAAACAGTAGTGTGGCATAGGCTGTTGTGCTACCAGTTAGTGATCGCCTTAGCTTTTGAGGTGTAGATGAAGGGAGTGTCTCAGGTAAGAAGGTGGTTTTAACACTTCCAAGCTCCTCAGATGTGCCTGGAACCAAACCAGTCCGTTAATGAGTCAGGCGGGGCTCCTGCTGACAGAGAGAGAGAGAGAGAGAGAGAGAGAGAAGGCGTGGCTCATACTGACAGAGGGGGTGTGTGTGTGTGTCTGTCTGTGTGTGTGTGTCAGAGAAGACCGTGCTCCAGACTTGTCATTGGCTGCTTCTTTTTTTAGAATTGCCGGGCCTTTCTTTCTTGATGCCTCTTAGGCAGCATTAGACTTTTTGGTTAGCAGCGTATTTTATTAGACCTTCATTTGTATTTGTTGAAATTAAAGTCCGTTTTGAAATTCAGAAATAAAAGAACTGTTGCTTTCAAAAAGAAATGTTTTACAACGATGAAATATCATCTCACCCTAGAAAGAATAGCAAAATTTAACAGAACAGCAAACAACAAATGCTGGAGAGGTTGCAGAGAAACTGGAACCCTTATTCACTGTTGGTGGGAGTGTAAAGTGGTGCAACCAATATGGCACTTTCTTAAAAAGTTGCAACTAGAAATACTATTTGACCGAGCAATTCCACTACCGGAAATACACCCCAAAGAAACCATAACTGCCACCCAAGCAGATATATGCATACCCTTGTTTATTGTGGCTTTGTTCACAATAGCAAAGAGTTGAAAACAAGTGCCCATCAACAAATGGATGGATAGAGAAACTGTGGTGTATTCAGACAATGAATACTATGCTGTATTGAAAAACCAAGGAACTCATGAATTATTATACAAAATGGGTGACCCTGGAGAACAAACATTATGCTGAGTGAAATATCTTGGTCACAAAAGGACAAATACTGCATAATCCCACTGTTGTAAAGTGAGACTGACATGGGGTTGGGGGAAAACTAAGAGAAGAGGGGATAAATGTATACTTCATTGAAACAGATGAGGGAGAGAACTGTTTAAAAGGGATATGTGATTAGGTATTACTGTCATGACAGAAGTCCAGAATGAAGGCTGCATAGTGGTGTGGGGTCAGGGGGAGGGGATTGTATAACAAAGAATTTTTTTTTCTTTATTTTTTTTTTTACTTTTCAAAGAAAAGAGCAAACTTGTGGGAGGGGTGGGCAGGGAGGAAAGTGCAACAGTGGAAATCCAAAGTCTGTAAACTTTTATTAAAATTAATTTTAAAAAAAGAATTCTTTTTATCTAAGTTGGAATTTATATGAAATAAAATTTTTTCTATAAATTTGAAAGAATTATTTTCAAATCTTGACAGCTTTGCATTCCTAGAGTTAATCTGTAAAGTGAAATTCTTAGATGAAATGAAATCCGTTAAATAGTGAGAGGAGATAAAATAGGATGAACTATGATAGCGCTTTCAGAGTAAGAAAATCAGGATTTGGGTCGTCTTAGTGTATTGACTGTAGAAGCTTGGAAGAGCCACTTATTTTATACCCAATTCCCAGGGATGTGAGAATTAAACAAGAGTGTCTAAAAACTATGGAGGTGGTAGTATTTTTCTTAAAGTTACTCTTGTCTAGCATCAGGGTTTGATTCTTTAAGAAGTTGATTTTTCTGACGATAATATAGGATATAGGATTGCTGACAAATAATGGTATCATACTTCGTCTTTTCAGTTGAGGAACGGTAAGTAGTGTATGTAAGATGCTGTGAGGAAGGACCTTTTTATATTTATTTTCATACTAAGAAAAATAACAAGTGATAGATTTTAGATGTACAACTTAACCATTATAAATGTTAATAATAATCTTAATATTTTATTAATTTTCTGTCATATGTTACCAACAGTAATGACTTACTAAAGTAAATACTTAGCAAAAAGAAAAAGTCAAATTATCATTGGTTTTTACTTTTGTTTTTAGGCTGAAAGTGAAATTTCAACAACAGCAGAGGATTATAGTTCAGAGGTAAGAATAAATAAAGTTATTTCTTATGTCATAAATTATACTTCATGCTGTTACTGCATTTATTTATTGTTGATACTTTGTTTCTTTAAATGTAAATATTTTGTAAGCATTAGTATTTTATGAATATAATGTGATATTAAAAGCTGTGAAGGCAAACATTGAAAGACTTTGAGGTGATTCCTATTCATGGCAGCCTCCTTCAGGCTATAAACCTTTGCAGAAAGGAACTGCGTCATCTTTTCCTATAGAGCTACAGGTGGATTCAAACAGTTGGCCTTTTTGATTAGCACCCCAACATGTAGTGCACAATGCCTCACCAGGACCCTTTAATATAAGATTGTCAGAAAGCTCTGGTGGCCTAGTGGTAAGAATCTGTTCTGTAATTCCAAAGGCACACAGTTCAAATCCTAATAGAGGTTTACCATAAATAGAAATACAATATTAGTATAATGCATTTTAATTTAAATGACTGGAAAACTTGACAGTTATTTTTCACAACTAGATCTTTTTTGATTAAGGGAGGTCTTCTGTTAACCCTAATGTTTGTTTGAATAAGTTCACAACTTTATGATAAGAGACTCTGCTGTAGTTTCTGAGATTGTCTGTGATACTGAATTTCCAGAATATGTGACGGTGAATAGGTAGTTACGTTGAATGTTGTGAAAATGTTGTTGAGAAAATTGCATTTTGAGTGACAATTTTTATAAATGTTTGAATTGCTAGGTAAAATTACATTAATTTGCTTATTAAAAGAGTGATTTTTTTTTTCAAATTTAGGTGTTGGCCACTTAAATAAAATACTTTTTTTTGTGTTGTTAATAAGTATATGCCATTTTATTGTCTTTTTTTCTTATTCTTCTAGATGTGAATGTTATTTATTTGGTCCAATATTTGGAAATATAGAAAACTAATAAAACTTACTCTGAATAGTTCAACTCAGTATATTCATTAAATCTTAACTTATTGTAGCTTTCTAATAGAACAAAATTAACCTTATGTTCTTAAATGAACATATTACTCTTATGAATTAGTAATGGCAGTAAAAACAGACATTTCAAAGTTTAATAAAAATATAAATAAATAATCAAAATAAAATATGAGCAAAATTCTGAAGAGACATTTTTCCAAAGGAGATAGAAGAACTTGAAAAGAATCATTTGCCCTCAGGGAAATCCACATCAAATCCACAGTGAGATACCATGCATCATTATTAGGATCTGTCATCAGAAGGCAAATTATGAATTGTTTTCATAATCAACATCATAAAACATGTATGAATTATTAAGTTGAGAACCAGTTTGCTTTTTAAACTGTCACTTAGATCACAATAAAGAGCATTTTTAAAGAAGTATTCTATATGAAGGCAGCTCTGATGGCCTAGTGGCAAGAAACTGTGCTGCAATCCCAAAGGCACGCTGCTTGAATCCACCAGATGCTCCACTGGAGAAAGAGGGGCAATCTCCTCCTGTGCCAGTCGGATCTGATTGAATGACACACAACAAGGGAAAAAAATTGCTTAAGAAGTATTCTATTTGAAAGTAAGGAATATACTTAATAACCTGGGAAAATTATGAACCAATGTTAAATATACAAATTGTTGACTGAGTTATACTGCCAATACAGAGGCAGTTGGTTCAAGTCCACCAATTTCTTCACAAGAGAATGATGGGCAGTTTCTTCTTGTGACATGTACAGCCTCTGAAAACCTGCTGGAGGGTCAGTTATGAGTCAAAATTGACTCAGTGGCCATGAGATAGTACTACAGAAAGTGGCTGAAGTTAAAAGCACAACTTGTTACTCAGACTGTCTTCCCTTGTGGGAATTTGGGACTCAGATCTGAAAACATTGTTTTTCTAAATCCCCTTAATGATTTTAACTTGTCTGTCTTGTTGACAGTTTCTGATTCTTTGTTCCTTGAACTGTTGTTGCCTCTATCTTTGAGGCACCCCCACGGCTCCGCAAAATGAATTTTTTTCTTTATATACTATGGCTGTAGGTCAGAGCATACCATAAATAGCCATAAAATTTGGGTGAAATTTATATAACAATGTTAATACGCTGGAGTAATAAACTAAAATTTAATTTTTATACATATATATATATATATATATATATATATATATATATATATATATATATAGTTGCATATATTTATTTATTTAAAAGGAGCCCTGGTGGCACAGTGGTGATGGTGGTGGGGTAAGGATTGTTGTTACTAGGTGCCATCAATTCAAGTATGATGCATAGCAACCTATCAACAAAAGAGCTGACCCTGTTCTGTCCTGCGCCATCCTCACATTTCTTGGTACAGTGATTAAGCACATGGATAATGGAAGGGTCAACAATTTGAACCCACTAGCCACTCTGTCGAAGAAGACTGTGAATCGGCCTCCATAAAGATTGATTACAACCTTGGAAATCCTTTGGGGCATTTCTACTTTGATAAAATTGCTTTGAATAGCAAGTAACTCATTGGCAGTAGGTTTCATATTTTAAATTGGTAATTTTGAGTTTCTCTGTATATTGTGATATTGTTTAGACTTTTTTTACCTAAATTTTTTCATGATTAAATAATCTGGTGAGGGGAGCTCTGGTGGCCTAATGGCAAGAAGCTGCACTGCAATCCCAGAGGAACACAGTTCGAATCCACCAGACACTCTACCGGAGAAGGAGGCGCAATATCCTCCTGGACCAGTCAGATCTGATTTGACTGTACATGCCCACAAAATAAAAAAAATAAAATAATAATCTGGTGAAGATGATCCAGAAGGATGTTTTGAAACTATGTTATTTTTGCTATCTAGTAAATATGATAGATTGCAAGGTAAGTTCCAAGTTGTATTTAACTGTAATCCCTACAGATAGAATAGTTTTTCATACTAGCTGACCATGGTTCATAGTAAGAAATACATTAGTTGTTGGGAATGGCACTGCCAGCTCAAAAATGGGCTTTCTCACGCGATTTACCGCCTCTGAAAACCTACAGGATGGTCAGCTGTGTCAGCTCCAACATGATGGTATGTACGCTAAAACAATATAGTAAATATATACCTACTTATATATGGATAGCTAAATGCATAAATAATTTTACATATGATTGCTTTTTCCAAATAAAATTTGATGCAAAGTACCCTTACAATATGAAAATTTCTTTACCAGCACCACAATTGAGAGGCCTCAGTCCTTCTTCAGTCTTTCTTAGTCATTGACATGAATATGACACAATTGAAAATACCACGTCTTTAAAGTGACATTCTTGTGCTTAGAGGCCCTTGTGAAACAGTGACTTGTTGGAGAAAATATTGTATATATTATGGCCAACTGAAAAAATAAACAGATTTGTCTTGGAGGAAATATAGCCAGAGTGCTCCCTGGAAGGGAGGATGATGAGAGTTTGTTTCACATACTTTGGGCATATTATAAAGGTAAAGAGTTGTACTGCCTACCCAAAGACATGGAGTTCAAATCCATCAGCTGCTCCAAGGGAGAAAGATAGACAGTCTCATTTTGTGCAGTTTACAGCCTCTGAAAACCTACTGGAGGGTTAGTTGATTTCAGTTCCACTGTACATAACAAATCAGTCACTTAAAAAATTAGAAAAATAGGTATGAAGATCCAAGGGGGGAAGGGTAGGAACAGAGAGGAGTGTGGATGGGCAGAGAGGTAATCATATTGTTGTTATGTGTCTTTGAGTTGCTAGTGACTCATAGTGACCCTGTGTACAACAGTTCTGAACTCTGCTCTCTCCTGTGCCAACCTTATTGCCTCTAGTACACCTGCTCCCATTAGCCTTGTCACTGAATCAATTCATCTCATCCAGGGTCTTCCTCTCTTGTGCTGTCCCTTCACCCTCCCAAGCTTGATGCCCTTCTCCAAGGACTGGTCCCTCCATATAACATGCCTAGAGTATGTCAGATGAAGCTTCAGAATCCTTGCTTCCAAGAAACAGTCTGGTTTTACCCTTTCGAGGATGAACCTGTTTGTTCTCCTAATAGTCCATGGTATATTCAGTATTGTTCTCCAGTACCACTCCAGCTCAAAGGCATCAATTATCCTTATATCAGTCTTTGTCCAGCTTTCTGATGTGTAGCAAGTAGTTGTGAAGACCATGGCCTGGCACCTCGTCTCCAGACTGACTTTGTTGCCCTTCAGTACTCTTGAAAAGTCTCTGACAGCAGAATTTCCCAATGCAGTTTGTCTTTTGATTTCCTGGCTATTGGTACCAAGAGTTGTTGATTGTGGAGCCAAGCAAACACAATTTGATGGGTAGAGGGAGAGGTAGATAAAGGAAATATGAAAGATTTTGTGTGAAAAATAATGTATACAAACTTGGTAGGAAAACCAGTATAAAATAAAAATGTATTAAAAAAATACATCATGCTTGGAAAAGTAAAAGATTAGTGAAAGTATAGAAGACTCAATGAGTTAAGTGACATAATGACTGAAACTGTGGGCTTATACACAGCAGAGACTCTTAAAGGTGACGCAGGATCTGGCAGGGTTTCATTTTGTTTTACACAGAGTAGCTGTGAGTCAGTGCTAACTTTGGTACGTAGCAACAACATGTGAAATATACTCTGCTACTTGGGAAAAAAGTACTGGCCAAAAAGCTAAATTGGTTTTTTTGCTTATCATGTGAAACAACATATGGAAGACTATATTGACTATAGACGTCTGTATTGAAAACATATTTATGGAATAGTTTTTGACAGATTTTTTTAAATCTCATTTAAATTATAACCCTTTAGAATACTCTATATTTTGGACCTGAATTTACAGTAGATTTTCACAAGTCTGTGCGGAAAGCATTGCAAAAATAAATTTGATTGTAAAATTTTTGGTGATGTTTCATCAAGGCTACTAAGATGAATGCTGCTTGATCTGGCTTTGAGGTTTCAACCATATAGGTAATGATTATCAGAGTGGTTTAATGGAGCTGGAATTATAGGGAACTTCCAGATTATATTAACCCTTTCAGAAATAGAAAAACCAGCAACAGAGAACATTCCTAACCCTAAGAATAAATCTCACACTGTAATACTTTCTCATAAAGAACTATGATGTATCATCTATGGTGGCAGCAGGCAGTGATGGAAAACCTCCCTGTGGTTTAGGGTTGGGCACAGCTGTTTTGTTGGACTCTTTCCATAAGAACACTGTCTTTTGCAATGTAAGCATGCCAGTGTTTGAGGAATGGTTGACCCTTAAAACTATAAAAATGTCTTTTAGACGTTTTAGTTTTGCCAATGATCATGTCTTTAGCTTTAAGTAAAATTCTCTCTAAAGTCATAATATATCAGGAAATTGTTTTTATACAGGTAAATGGTTGCAGTTTTCTGGTGAAAACAGAAAAACCTACAAATTTGTTAAGGGTACAGTATTTAAAATTGTTCATGATACTAATGTTTTAAAAACTATCTGGCTTACTAACAAAACTTTTTCCTGCATGTACTTCTTTTTGTGTGTGATTTCTAAAGGCTTTTAATGTTTAACAGAACAAAGTTTGTCACTTTTTTTTATAACATTCAATTGTAACAGAACTTGCAGATGTCCTTTCATAAAGTACATATCAGATGTTTTAAGGTGGACTTTGCTGTAGAATCCAATGTTTAATTCCCTCTCACTGAGGAATGCTGCTAGAGTTGAATTAAAATCTTGGATTGATTCAGGAAGAAGAATTTGGTGCTGATGATTCCTATTCTGAACATGGAGCACAATATAGTCAAACTCACCTTGAGATGATGGAAAATGAGTTGCCTGGAAAACAGCATGATATTGAAGAGCTCAACAGAGAGCTGGAAGAAATGAGGGCTACCTACGGGACTGAAGGACTGCAGCAGGTACATCTGGGGCTTTTAGTTTGTTACAGAAACAGTAACAAGAAATGTGAATGATAATGTATACACATTGCCATATATGTGTATATATAGGGTTTCCAATGCTGTAAATTTTGCAGAAGCAGCTGCCAAAGCTTTCTCATTTGGAGCAGTTGGTCAGTTTGAACCAAAGATTTTCTGGTGAGCCCCTGAGCACTTTAACTACAGTGTCACCCAGGCTCCCAATGTACATACTTTTAAAGATGGATTTTTTTTTTCTTCATTTATTTGAGTGAAAATTTGTAAATCATTAGTTTTTCATTGAAATATTCATACTCATTTTGCTTGTTGTTGTTATTATGTGCCACCAAGTCACTTGTGATTCATAGGGACCTTATGTACAGCAACTTTGAACCCTGCTCTGTCCTGAGCCAACCTTGTTGTTTCTAACATACCTACTTCCATTACCCCAATCATTGAATGCTTAGTAATATTAATTACAATTCCAGCTCCAACTTTGAGTCAGAACTGATTCATAGCATAGCTCACCCTCCAGTTCAGAGACTGTAAGTCACAGAGATGAGATTGTCCATCTTTCTCCCATGGAGCAGCTCATAGATTTGAACGACTTGCCTTTGGATTGGCAGTGCAGTTCCTTCCCTATTAGGCTACCAGAGCACAGTTATAATTGGTGAACATAATTATAATATCTAATCAAACTTTTATTGTATATTGCCTTTTCCTTCTCTTTGTTTATCTCTATTCATTTTTACACACTGCCCACTTTCCTATTCATCTTAACCATTAAAGAGTGATTCCAGATGTAAACTTCTCTGTAACTTTTCATAATAGTGGTCTTATACTTTAATTGCCCTTTTGTGGTTGACTTAAATCATTCAGTATTGTTTTTCTAGATTTCATCCATGTTGTGCAGTGTTTTAGTCTTGTTTGATTGAACTGTATTTTCTTTAGTCTTTGTTGATGAATCCTTGTATTGCCTCTAACTCTTTGCTATTAGAAGTAATGCTGCAATAAACATAGATGTGCATATATTACTTTTTGACATATCTTTCAATTATATATCTATTGGTAGGATTGCTAGATCAAATGGTATTCTTATCCCAGCTTCTTAAGGAAGTGCCAAACTCCTTTCCATAGTGGTTGTACCATTTTACATTGCCACCAGCAGTGTTTTTGATTTGTTGACTTACTGAATTATGCTGTCATTGCTGGAATGAGATGATATCTCCTCTTTTTTATTTGTAGCTCTCTAATAGCAGGCTGGGTTTAGAAGAGGCTGTGGTACTAGGGATATTATAGTTAATGTTAGGTGGATCTTGGCTGAAAGTAGCAAATACCAGAAGAACTCTTATTATGTTTCATTGATTATGCAAAAGCTTTTAACTGTGTGGATCACAACAAACTATGGCTAACTCTGAGAAGAATGGGAATCCCAGAACATTTGATTGTGCTTATGTAATACCTATACTTGGACCTGGAGGCAGTCATTAGAACAGAGCAAGGAAACACTGCATGGTTCAAAATCAGGAAAGGTGTACACCAGAGATTCACCTTATCTCCATACCTTTTCAATCTGTATGTGGAACAGATCATCCAGGAGGCTGGGCTCTATGAGACGGATTGTGGCATGAGGATTGAAGGAAGACTCATCAACAGCCTGTGTTATGCAGATGACACAACATTGCTTGCTGAAACTAAGGAGGAACTGAGACATTTGCTGCAGAAAGTCAAGGACTACAGCCTTCAGTATGCATTGAAGCTCACATGAAGAAGATAAAGATTTTTCACCACTGGGCCGATTGGCAGAATCATCATAGATAATGAAGAGATTGAGATTGTTAAAAGCTTTTGTTTGGCTTGACTTCACAATCTAGGTAGCAGCAGCCAGGAAATCAAAAGATGAATTGCATTGGGAAACTCTGCAATCAGGGACCTCTCCAGAATACTGAAGAGAAACAGTGTCAGTCTGGAGACTAAGGTGTGCCTGTTCCGGGCTGTGATCTTCACAGTTATTTGCTGTGCATCAGAAAGCTGGACAGTGATTAGGGATCATAGAAGGAGAATTGTTACCTTTGATCTGTGGTGGTAGAGAATAGTATTGAATATACACTATGGACTGCTAGGAGAACAAACAGGTTTGTCCTGGCGAGGGTGAAACCAGGTTGCTCCTTGGAGACAAGGATTCTGAAGCTTGGAGAGAAACATCATGCTTGGGAGGGTGGAGGGACAGCACAGGAGGGAAAGACCCTGGGTGAGATGGATTAACTCAGTGAATGGGGTGCTGGGGGCAGGTGTGTCAGAGACAATAAGGTTGACTCAGCATAGAGCAGGGTACAGAGCTGTTTTACGTAGGGTCGCTATGAGTCGCAAGCAGCTTGATGGCACATAATAGCAACAACAACAGCTAACCGTCTTCAGCATTTTTGCATGTGTTTGTCAGTCTTCTGAAGATCTTTGGTGAAATATCTTGATGTTCTTTAACCATTTTGTAGTTACTTATCTTTTTCTTGTTGAGGTAGTGGCATTTTCTGTGAATTTTATATATTAATTATTTGCCAGATACGGTGTTTTCAAGTGTTTTTCCCAGTGTGTACAGTCTGTTTTTACTTTTTTAAAGAAGTATTTTGATATATGTAAGAATTTAATGTGTAGGAAGTTCCAGTCATCTAGTTTACCTTAAGCTGATTGTGAATTTTCTTTTATGTTTGATAGTCTGTGTATGTCACAGATTAGGGCTCCAACATGTGCCCCATTTTTCCCTTTGATGATTTTTATAGTTTAGGTTTTCTTTCTAGGTCTTTGGTCCATCTTTGTTAGTTTTTTTGTATGGTGTAAGGAATGGATGCTGGGCTGTACTAGGAGGAATGTGGCATCAGGATTGGAGGAGGATTAATCAACACCTGTGTTATACAGATGACACAGCCCTGTTTGCTGAAATAAACCTGAAGCACTTTCTGTGGAAGGTCAAGGACTGCAGCCTTCAATATGAGTTGAAGCTCAACATCAAGAAAACAAAGATTATCCCTACTGGGCCAATTGGCAGCATCATTATGGATGGTGAAGGGATCGAGACTCTTAACAGTTTTAGTTTGCTTGGCCCCACAGTCAACTCTCTTGATACCAGCAACCAGGAAATCAAGAGATGAATTGCAATGGGAAAGTCGGCTGTCAGGGACCTCTGTCCAGAGTACAGAAGAGCAATGATGTCAGGCTGGAAACTAAGGTGTGCCTGATCCAGGCCATAGTCTTCGCAATTGCGTCCTATGGGTCAGAGAGCTGGATAATGACTAGGGATGGTAGAAAGAGAATTGATGCCTTTGAGCTGTGGTGCTGGAGAAGAGTGTTGAGTATACCATGGACTGCTAGGAGAACAAATAGGTTCAACCTGGAGAGGGTGAAGCCAGGATGCTCCTTGGAGGTAAAGATTCTGAAACTTCGCCTGACATACTTTGGACACGTTGGAAGGAGGGACCAGTCCTTGGAGAGGGACATCATGTTTGGGAGGGTGGAAGGACAGCAGAAGAGAGGAAGATCCTTGATGAGATGAATTGATTTTTATCACTGGGGTAAGGGGAGTAGGTGTGTCAGAGACAATAAAGTTGGCATAGGATAGAGCGAGCTTTAGGGTTCTTGTACATAGGGTCTCTGTGAGTTGCAGGCAACTAGATGGTGTATAACAACAACAACAATAAGAAGGGATGGATCTGGTTTCAATTTTTCTTCAAATAGACATTCCATTTTTACAGCACTATTTGTCAAAGTGATTCTCTTTCCCCCACTTAATGGATAATTTCATCTCATTGTCAAAGATAAGCTCTTTAGAAGTGGATAGATTTAATTCTGGATTCTCAGCTTTATTCTGTTAATGTCTGAATCTGCCACTGTACCACTACATCCTGTCTTAATACTCCTGTGTAGTATGTTTTGAGATCAGGAGTATAAGACTTCCTGCTTTGTTTTCCTTCTTCAAGGAAAAGTGTTCACATTCCTTTCCCTATAAAGTTAGTGGTTACTTTTCTTACAAAGACAAGATATTTTTTTAAGGTAACTTAATATCATTATATAATATTTGTCCTTGTTACTATTGGCCATCAAATTAAAACTGATCCATAGCCAACCCTTCAACGGGTTTTCAGAGACTGTAAATCACATGGGAGGGGATTGCTCATCCTTCTCCCACAGAGCAGCTATTGGATTTGAACCAACCTCTTTAGGATTGCAGCACAGCATCTTACCACTAAGCCACCAGAGCTCCCTATATTTGTCCTTGTGGTGGTGATGGTGTACTGTAGAGTCAGAACCAACCCCTACCCCAGTATGTTTTCAGAGGCAGTTAATTGCAAGGGAAGAGATTGCCCATTCTTCTCCTGTAGTGAAGCTGATAGCCTTGAACCATGTGCCTTTGGGATTGCAGCACAGCTTTTTGCTGCTAGACCACCAGAGCTCCCTATATTTGTCCTTATAATAATTTTTTTTAAATTATTTTTTATTATTTTGTGTGCGTGTACCGTCAAATCAGATCTGACTGGTACAGGAGGATATTGCGCCTCCTTCTCTGGCAGAGCATCTGGTGGATTCGAACCGTGTTCCTCTGGGATTGCAGTGCAGCTTCTTGCCACTAGGCCACCAGAGCTCCCCTTATAATAATTTTTTTAAAGTTTAAACCCAGAATTATTTTAATCTAAGCCCACTGCCATGGAGTTGATTGCAAATCATCGTAACTTGCATCATTTTTCTGAGGCTGTAAGTATTTATGGAATGAAACTACACATCTTTGTTTTGAGGAGCAGCTGGTGGATTAGGACTACTGACTTTGGGGTATGCATCCCAATAAATTATGTCCTGTATAATGTGGGCTATTTTATTTGATTGTATGAGGTATCTAAACTTTAGTAGGATGAATATTTTGTAATCATCTGAGAAAAAATAATGATAAAAATCATATCAAAATATTATGACTAAAGCTCATTAAAATGTTAGTGAGTCATCATAAGTGACTTCTTGCAATTAGAGTGACATCTACTGTCTGTTATGATTAGGTAAAACAGAACATTGATGAGGGTGACAGAATGCATTTCAGCTTTATCCTCTCCCAGAACAATAGCTCATTATCATCAAATTGGACCCAGCTGACCTTTGAATGGCTTTCTGAGGCTGTAAAAAGAGGACGTAGTCCACCATTTTCTACCAGTGTCTGGTGGATTTGAGAAGCATGACACTGGATTAGCAATGCAACTCCCTGTGAACTTGGCCACCAAGTTGGGATTAAATGATAGCTTTTTTAGGAACAAAATTGAGAGTCCCTTTTAATATACAAGAGTTTGTCCTTCCAGAAGTTGATTTATAGATAAGTCTCTTCTAATGTATTTTTACATTAATGGATTTGAGTTTGTCAGAAAGTGTTGAGAGTGGCACAGGATAGGACAGGGTTCAGACCTGTTGTTCTTAGGGTTGCTATGGGTCTTATTTGACTCCATGGCACCTAACAGTAACACTAGATTCTCAGGTAATTTTCTCATGGTTGATTAGCAAATCAAACCTGTTCCTGTGAGAGTATTCTGATATGGAAAACAAAACAGAACTTACAAATTGGAATTATTCTGCTGGGACATTTTACGTATATGTGTGATCATTTATTGTATGCTGATGAACATTTACACAGCAAATTAAGTTCCTATATAATAGTTTCTTTGGAAGGAGGAGTGGCATCCACTTCCGTAATAGCTTGCCTCCGGAAACCTTATGAACCTGGAGAGAGGATGAAAGGCACCCAAGCATCGAGGACTCTCCTTCATAGGGTTGCTATGAGTCGCCTGCGACTCGACGGCACTTAACAACAACAACAACATAATAGTTTCTATACATATTGTCCAGTGACATTGGGTATATTGTTCATGGTGCATCAACATTCTCATTATTTCCATTCTGGTTGTTATGCTTCATTAATGGAACTTTGCCATGTATCTCTCTCCGCCCACCCCATTATCCCCCACCCCCACATCAAATCTTTGGCTTCAGGTACATATTGACTTTTGATATCATATAAGCCATTTTGAATGTCCTATTTTGAAGGACAGTAGCATATAGTAATAGTTTTGTTTAAAAATGTAAGTGTAGCTTATCTCTCGCTGGCTTCTTTTAGTTACAGGAATTCGAAGCTGCTATTAAACAAAGAGATGGCATCATAACTCAGCTCACAGCTAATCTGCAACAAGCAAGAAGAGAGAAGGATGAGACAATGAGAGAATTTTTGGAGTTGACAGAACAAAGTCAGAAATTACAGATTCAATTTCAGCACGTAAGTAGTATTAATAGAAAAAAGTTTATTCAATTTTTAGTAGTTTTTTGAAAAAGTTTTACTTTTCAGAACAATTCTAAATTTGTTAGCAAGCAGTTTGTTTATTTGAGCTATCTTGTTGGAAAAATTAATACATACCTAGTTTAATGTTCACCAATAATTTAACTCCTACTTCTTGAATGTTCTCCTTCTATTAGTGATTTTTTTAGGTGGAGGAAGGTACATGTTTTCTATGTCTATTTTGGAATTGTACAAAACCTTATGAAGCTATTTGATAGATTCTTGTAGAAATTAACCTGTAGTTACATCCTACCTTTGTCAATCCTGATACTGTTTTTATTTAGGTTTTTCAGTAATGACTAGATTGTTACTTATAATTAGAGCCATAGGAATCTACTTGTGTTTGTCAGAATTTCTGATGCCAAGTAACAGAAAAGATCAGATATAGCAAAAAGAAAAGAAAACGGTTTAATGTGAGTGTACAGGGTTATTTTACCACTTAAGGGCAGACATACCACAAGGTTCTTGAAAGGGTTTAGAACCAGAGATTGGAAGGTTATCAGGAATCTGGTTAGTGCTATAATTCAGCTCTCAGTTCTCTTTGCATATGTGCCTCTGTATAAGGAACAGTGGTAACATGGGAAAGGCCAAGTTTGAATTCTCCCAGCTTCATAAAGGGGAACTGTCCCCATCAGTAATATCCACGTTGTTGTTAAGTGCCATCAAGTCATAGTTGACTCATAGTGACCCTATGAATGAGAGTACTGAACACGCATACTGAACACATGTAACTTTGATCGTGCCACCTCTGCTTCCAAGCCTGTTTCACTTTGAGCGCTCAGTCAAACACTGTCCACCATGAGCAACCGCATTTGACACATCAGTGTCACAGCATTCACTATCAGAGAAACCTTGAGTTACCTCTTTGCTGCAGATTGACTAACCAGTGCTATACCACTTAGAATGATTGACTGAAAACAATTAAAAAGAAGCCTTCAGGCCCCAATGCCATTTTTTAAATACAACACCAAATCCAATCACACCTAATTGTGAACCATCTGCTGCACTCATCTTCCTAAACTTTAAAGTAGCCCCAAACTGGCAACCAAATGACTTTTTTAAAATACGAGGCCAAATCCAGTCAGCTCACCCCAATTGCAAGCAACACACCACACTCAAGCCTCAATCAAAACAGAAAAACACCTTCATAGAAACCAGCTGTTCTACTCATCTTCCTGAACCTTAAGGCAGCTCTAATAATATCCATAGTACTAAACAAGTAGCTCCAAAGTACTGAAGAGAAACGGTATCATTCTGGAAGCTAAGGTGTGTCAGATCCAGGTCATAGTCTTTGCAATTACTTGCTATGCATCAGAAAGCTGGACATTGACTAGGGATAATAGAAGGAGAATTGATACCTTTGAGCTTTGGTGCTGGAGAAGAGTATTGAATGCATTGACTGCTAGAAGAACAAACAGGTTCATCCCAGAGAGGGTGAGGCCAGGCTATTTCTTGGAGGCAAGGATTTTGAAGTTTCATCTGACATACTTTGGACATGTTGCAAGGCGAGACCAGTCCTTGGAGCAGTCCTTGGAGACCAGTCATGCTTGGGAGGGTGGAGGGACAGAGAAAGAGCAGAAGACCCTTAATGAGATGGACTGATTCAGTCACTGGGCTAGTGGAGGTAGGTGTGTTGAAGACAATAAGATTGGCACAAGATAAAGCAGGGTGTAGGGCTGTTGTACATAAGGTCGCTATGAGTCTCAGGTGATTTGACAGCACATAACAACAAACAAACAAATAGCTGTATGATCAGACATGCCACCATACAAGCTCCAGAACCCATTTCTACCAATCATTGGGGCCAGTTTTCCTTGCAAATTGACTCACAGACTTTACTCACAGTTGTAGGGTTTAGGAAAATAGATTTGGGGAGGAGAGGCGAAGAATATCACACAGTGTGTGTCTAGGTTTAGTCTAGCAGTCCCATCTAGATTAACAGCAAGACACAGTTCTTAAATTAGTGAAAAGTCCTGGTTCAGTTCAGTAGCACAAGTGCGCCTCTGGTTTCCTCAGTCATCCAGCACACTTCTCAGAGAAGTTACAAGTCAGCTTTACCTTCAGTCATCCAGCAAACAAAACTTTTAACCCTGGTTTCATCTCCAGGGTTCCTGTGGTTACACCTTACCACATTCTCTTCACAGCAGTGCCAGTCATATCCCCTTCACCGTCCTACTATAGCCTCATGTTTCTCTGTCTCACTGGACCTATGTTCTCTGCTTTACCACAAGAAGAAACCTCTTGGTTTAGCTTGAGTTATGTGCCACCACTCATCCTGTCATGTGTCTGCTGTATAGGCCTTACACCTGTAAATCCAACATATTCCCAGAGAGTCCCCTATGAGCTGGGTAATACCTCCAAAAGTATATAATCCTTAACACAGTCACTGCAGACTTTTAATGTTTTATAATTTCTTCCCATTTTTAAGCTACAAGCCAGTGAAACTTTGAGAAACAGCACTCACAGTAACACAGCTGCAGATTTACTTCAAGCAAAGCTGCAGATCCTCACTCACCAGCAACAGCTGGAGAAACAAGACCACCTACTAGAAGATTATCAGAAAAAGAAAGAAGACTTCACAATGCAAATTAGTTTCTTACAAGAGAAAATCAGAGCATATGAAATGGTATGTTTTAGAATGTCAGACTACTTGGAGCAGCTTTGTAATCAGCTTTAAAAATTTTTTTGCAAGTGTTCATCCTTTTGTTTTGCACATAGATTACAGAATTGCATAATTAGTTAAAGTTCTAATGGTATAAAATAATTTTTTCAATAGCAGTTAATTATTTGTCTAACAATAAAATAAGGTAATAGTCATTATTGAGTCCCTTAGACATAATCAGTCCATTTAAACCCTATTTTCAGGAGAACATAAATACATAATGAGAATTTCTATCCTTTATTCTTTTTTATCTAAAGGTATTTTCACTTACTTTAGCTCTTGTTAAGAAATTCCAAATATACTTTCAAAACAAAATTAACTATTATGGGCTTTAATTTGAAAAATAGACAGTACTACTTAGAAATTTCTGTAAGCAGTATTATATAGTGAATAAGAAAGAGAGTTTAAAAAAAGTAGCTGAAAGTCATGTACACTAGAAATAAATGATGCTGCATAAAGAAATACTGCCTTTGTATTGTTCAGTATCTGAATATAGAATGATGGTTGGTTGTTATTATACTAAGTGTTATATAGTTTTGAATTAATTTCTGCTGTTATGTAAGAGTTTGCTCCCCCCCCATGGAAAATCAGAAATTACAGAAGTTAGATTTTTAAGAGTGTTAATATTTTGTGAGATTAATTATGGATTTATTTAGAAATTTAAATTAGCTACCATGAACTAATTTTACTTTTTTATGGTTTTCAAATGCCTTATAGGTTACTTTTTTCTACTATGTCAATTGTTATATTTGTCTTAGAAGCTACACCACAATCCCAAAGGCAGATGATTCAAACCTACCTAATGCTCTGTAGGATTAAACTGCCCCTGAAAACCTGCTGGAGGGTCAGCTATGAGTTGGTTTCAACTCATCAGCATATAGCAGCAACAGCTACAATATAGCACATTAAGAATAAACTACCTTAATTAATGTTTTTACTTTAACCTTAGAACATATTCTGTTAATTAGAGAAAATAAATCTGTATGGAACAAATGAAAACACACAATATGTTGTTGTTGTGTAGTGACAGAGTTACCAGGACACAGAACTAGTTCTGCATCAGAGCTGACCCTACAGTAGGTTTTCAGAGGCAGTTAAACACATCAGGAATAAATATAGTGCATAAATTAAATGAAAAGACTCAGCAATTGGGAATGACATAAACTGAAATAGACTGGGCTGTGTTATGCTGGGAGAAAACCTGGCAGAATTTCTATCAGGGGACTGCACAGGACATTGTGCCATGGTTAATTTATACAGCATATAATCTGGCCTTTTGTTTATAGTCTCAGAGCAATAGAAGACAAATTTACTTTTTCTCTACCTGGATTCAAGAGACTTGAAATAAATTGAGGAGCAGGTAAAATAGTTACTCTGTATAGACTGATTTAAAAAGCTGACTTCTCTTAGTTTTTCTTTTTAAAAGGGTCTGAGTGACAATACAAGTTGCCAGAAGTTAAAAATGTTATTCTTACATTTTTGCTTTTTCTTTCTAAAGGAACAAAAGAAAAAAGTGGAAAATTCAAATGAAAAAGAAATGCAGGAAAAGGAAGCAATCATTGAAGAATTAAATAAAAAAATAGTAGAAGAAGAGCAAAAAACATTTGAGCTGGAGGGTAAAGTGATGGCTGCTGACAAATTGCTAGAAGAATTACAGCAACAGGTTGTACAAAAGAACCAGGAGATACAAAACATGAAATTAGAACTGACTAATTCTAAACAAAAACAAAGACAGTGTTCTGAGGAAGTAAAACAGTTAATGGGAACAGTTGAAGAACTCCAAAAGAAAAATCATAAAGATAGCCAATTAGAATATGATATTGTGCAAAGAATGGAACAAGAATCACAGAGAAAGTTGGAACAGCTCCGAGCAGAGCTAGATGAAATGTATGGACAGCAGATTGTACAAATGAAACAAGAGTTAATAAAACAACATTTGTCTCAGATGGAGGAACTGAAAACACAACATAAGGGAGAAATGGAAAACGCATTACGATCATATCCAAATATTACAGTCAGTGAAGATCAAATAAAAGTAATGAATATGGCAATAAATGAACTGAATATAAAATTGCAAGACAGTAACTCCCAAAAGGAAAAGCTCAAGGAAGAACTAGGAGTGATTTCAGGAGAAAAGTCTGCTTTACAGAGACAACTGGAAGATCTTTTGGAAGAATTAAGTTTTTCGAGGGACCAGATTCAAAGAGCAAGGCAGACAATAGCTGAACAAGAAAGTAAGCTCAATGAAGCATATAAATCTCTTAGTACAGTAGAAGATTTGAAAGCTGAGATTGTTTCTGCATCTGAATCCAGAAAGGAACTAGAATTAAAGCATGAAGCAGAAGTCACAAATTACAAGATAAAACTTGAAATGTTAGAAAAAGAGAAGAATGCTGTGTTAGACAGAATGGCTGAATCCCAGGAAGCTGAATTAGAGAGGCTTAGGACACAGCTTTTGTTCAGTCATGAAGAAGAACTTTCAAAACTGAAGGAAGATTTAGAACTTGAACATCGAATAAATATTGAAAAACTTAAAGATAACTTAGGCATTCACTATAAACAGCAAATAGATGGTATACAGAATGAAATGAGTCAGAAGATAGAAACTATGCAGTTTGAAAAAGACAATTTGATAACTAAGCAGAATCAATTAATTTTGGAAATTTCTAAGCTAAAAGATTTACAGCAATCCCTTATGAATTCGCAGTCTGAAGAGATGACTCTTAGGATCAATGAACTTCAAAAAGAAGTTGAAATACTTAGACAAGAGGAAAAGGAAAAGGGTACCCTTGAACAAGAAGTTCAAGAATTACAACTTAAAACTGAGTTATTGCAGAAACAAATGAAAGAAAAGGAAGATAACCTTCAAGAAAAATTTCTACAACTTGAAGCTGAAAATAGCATTCTTAAAGATGAAAAGAAAGCTCTGGAAGACAGGTTAAAAACATATACACCTCTTAACCAAGAAGAGAAATTAATTTTCATGGACTCCAGTAATTCCAAATCCAAAGATAGTACTGGACAGAAAGAAATAGATATGCTTACAGAGGAAAATGAGAACCTCAAAAGACAGTGTATTCAGTTGAATGAAGAAATCGAAAAACAAAGGAACACTTTTTCGTTTGCTGAAAAAAACTTTGAAGTTAACTATCAAGAGTTACAGGAGGAGTATGCTTGCTTGCTCAAGATAAAAACGGATTTAGAAGACAGTAAACTTAAACAAGAAGTGGAGTATCAAAGTAAACTTAAAGCACTTAATGAAGAGCTTCATCATTTGCAGAGACTAAATCCAACCGTAATAAAAATAAAAGGTTCAACTCTTGATGAAGATAAAGCTTTTTTAGCAGAAACACTGGAAATTGGAGAGGTGGTTGAGAAAGATACCACAGAACTTATGGAAAAACTTGAAGTAACCAAGCGAGAAAAGTTAGAACTATCTGAAAGATTATCTGATCTTTCTGAACAATTAAAACAGAAACATGGAGAGGTTAGCATTCTAAGTGAAAAAGTTCAATCTTTAAAGCATGAGAAAGATCAAGTTTTACTGAGATGTAGAGAACTAGAGATCCTAATTAATCATAATAGGACAGAAAATGTAAATGTGTTTGATGTTCAGTCAAGTTCTTTTAAAGATGGAGTGGTGGCTATGACAGGGAGAAATTCTGGAGTTCCACTTTCTAAAATAAATGAACATTTTGGTGATAAGTCAGAAATAATGGAGGAAGATAAAATTTCTTTTGAAAATATGACTGAAAAAGAAAGCCAGCCAGAACAGTTATTTTTGGATAACTTACCATTGATGACAGATGAATCAACGTTTGAAACAACTGAACCTAATGAAAAGAAAAAACTTCAGCAGGAACTCAGTTTGCTTAAATCAGAACAGGTATGTTTACTCGTTTAAATATGGTAAAGCACAATGAAATTGAAAATTTCACAGTAGGAAAATTTTCTCTTATGAAGTATAGTTTTTTAGCAAGAGAATGAAAGTGAACCCACAAAAGTAATTCTCCTTTGAGCCTGTCATTTATTACATCAAATTTTTTTCCAAATTTCTGTTCTTTTGATTGATTTAACTATGTATTATCGGTGTAGTACATATTTCTTGGGAAATAAAACATGCTAATAATTTCAGTTTATTTAAAAAGGCAAGAATTTAAATAACATTGGAGCATATGAGCTTTAAAATATATAATACTGTTGCATCTCAAATACTAGTTTTAGAATTTTATTTCATACTGATATCTTCAAGGTCTGTAATTGAAAATTAACTCTTGAGCTTATTTTATACTTTCTGTAATTATCCTGTCAGGTATTGCTTTCAGATCAGAGCCAGTTCATAGCTTACCCTCCAGTGGATTTTCAGAGGCTGCAGTCACTTTGGAGTGATTGCCTGTCTTTCTCCTGTGGAGCAGCTGGTGGATTCGAACCACTGCATTTGGATTGGCAGTGTAACCACCAGAGCTCCGTAATTGTTGAGTAGTCATTAAGTTATAATTCCCGGAGGGGTGGGGAAGTATTTAAATTCTAGGGTTTTTTCCCTACAGAATATTAAAGAATGCATATTAAAAAAAAGAATGCATATTAATAGTTATTTTGAAGGTAATGAGAAAATTCCATTATGGATCTACTATGTAATGGTGCTAAACTTAAGCTTTATGTATTTCTTTACTTGTGCAGCTAATATTTATTGCCAGGTGTAGGAATATAGTAATGAGCAAGAGAGACACTTTTTAGTCTCAGAGAGTATGCTAGAGAGGGAGAGAGGCAGTAAATGAGGAAGCAAATAGCTATATAAGTAATGTTATATAAGTAGCAGTCCTGTGAAGGATGCTATGATAGAGAATGCTTTGCTAGAGAATGGAGTGGTAGCAACCTTAAATATATGGGTGAAAAAGAAGGATCTTGCTCAGGAGCAAAGATTTTGAAAATTACTACATAACTTGAGAGAGAATGGAGAGCGTTATGCACAGTGAACTCATTGAGTCTCATAAGGATAAATACTGCATAAAAGCATTTTTGTAAAAATAGGGTAACTAGTAAAATGTGCATAGGGATCCAAGGTGGGAAGTTGGGGAGCAGAGGGGTAAGAAGGAGCAGGGGAGAAATCATAGGGTCGCACAGTTTTTTACAGGGAATAAAGGAAATGAGAAAGATGAGTGGGGATATAGAATGACAGGATAATGACGAGCATAGTGCAGAGGTAATTAATTTTATAAAACATAATGAGTAGGAATGATTGTATGAAGCACAATGTGAATGAAGGATAATATGAAACACAATGTATATGAATTTTGTGTGCAAACATAAAATAATTTTTTTTAGTCTCAGAATTAACATTTGAGCTGAGACCCAAATGACAAGGTGCAACCTCTCCCGTTGAGATTAGAGCAGTTTTCAAGATATGAATATAAACTTGATAAATTTGAGAGCAAAATGGAGTCCAATTCCTTAAATTCAAGAAAGGGAGAAAATGACAGAAGAATCTGTCAAAAAAGGAAGGAACCAGATTTTGGAGACCCTTAAGAAGTTTATTCTGAGTACTCCAGGGAGCTATTACAGAGGTACTCTATTTCTAATGAATATATCCATATTGTATATAAAATATAGAAATAGTTTAGATTTTTAGTAACAAAATAAGAGTTGAGAAACTTGAACAGGTTAATTACTATTAAGTATATGAATCATTTGAAAACCAATAATGTGTGATAATTGCTCCCAGAAATATATCTGAGAACAGGAAACCAAATGATCATTAAACATGAGAAGATCTTTTCAGTTGTATAAATTGAAACAGGGATAAAATGGCATATTTTAACTTACCAACTTGGCGCAAATGAGCCTGACAGTGAAACACGTATGAATGAGGATACAGAGAAAATGGATACTCATTGCTGATTGCAATGTACATTTATATAATTACTTAAAAAATAATTTGGAAAAAGTTGTATGATGCATATATTTACAACAATTACACAAACAAAAAGTAGCTGCTAAGTTTCTTTTTTGTAAACCAAGCATCTCGTGGGATTTGGTTCCTGCGTTTAGGGTCATGGTTTTAGTCAGTTGGCCAGATAACATTGTTTAATACTTCTGTTCTGTCTTACTGCCTAGTTCATTGTATAAAATTTGGGGTCTAAAAAGCTTGCAAGCAACCATGTAAAGTTCATCCAACCCATCATCCAAGTCTGAACAGTTGGTCTCAATTTGCATAGAGTAACAGAGTTAGGAATAGGTGGAAAATACAGAATTTGTGGCTCATTACCTCAGTGGACAACTGCCTTCTTTGCTGTGAAGTGGCGAGAACCTGGATACAATTGCCAAAAGTTTTCATCAAAGAGAATATAGAACTCTGATCAAAAAAGGGGGAGATAAAGAATTTCAGAATCTCTTGGACTTCAGGTTTCCAGGAGCCGTGAAAATTTGATTAACCCCTGAACCTGTTGCCATGAAGTAGTCTGTAAATCTTAAACTGAAACTATCTCCTGGGATCTTCTTAAAACCAAGCAATAGTTTAGCTATTAAAATATTAACTAATAGGGAGCTCTGGTGGCCTAGTAAATCCACCAGATGCTGTGCTGGAGAAGGAGGGACAATCTCCTCCTGTACCAGACAGATCCAATTTGACAGTACACACACACAAAATGATAAAATAAATTTTAAAAAAAATATTAACTAATAGAGTATGCTCTGAGCATTGTCATCTTTTGAGGACTATCTGTATGGAATCCAATTGACAACAACAACTTGAAAAACTAGAGCATGCTACACATAGCTCAGAAAAGGAAGGTGAGAATGTTTACAAAAGTCCAAGAATGTCATCATTGTCATTAAGTGGTAGATGCAGAAACTGTTGAATTGGTATATGTCTTACTGTATATATTCTCAAAAAGAAAAAGTAAGTTATTGTTGTGTACCGTGGAGTTGGAACTGACCCATAGCTCACCATTCAGTGGGTTTTCAGAGGCAGTTAATCACACAGGAGGAGATTGTCCATCCTTCTCCCGCAGAGCCACTGGTGGCCTTCGTGATTGCAGTGCAGCTCCTTGCCACTAGGCCACCAGAGTAGACCCTTGAATAATTTGTTGTTCAAGGGGTCAACTATAAATAAAATTTAAAAACAAATGATAATTTGGTAAAAATCTAAGAGAATTTTGAGTGTACCTTCTCTGTGACCCAGCAATTATTTTTTTCTAGGTAATGTCTAAGATCTGATGTCTGACTGAGGAACATTAGCATCATTACATGGAAACAAGTTAGCTTGCAAATTCTCAAGTCGTTAAGTTGCAGTCCAGAGGCATATGGTTTGAATCCACGTGCTGCTTCTTGAGAGAAAGATGGGCAGTATCCTCCCTTGTGATTTACAGCCTCTGACAACCTGCTAAAGGGTCAGCTATGTGTCAGACAACTCGAAGGCAATAACTTGTTGAGTTGACCTCTAGTTGTCTGCCTATAGTACCTAGTTATCTGTTTTGATGAGTATTCTGTGTGATAGTGATGTATGCTGAAGTTTGAGAATTTCTACTTTAGGAAAACACCAGCACACATGTACAAAGGGATATGTATTAAGAGCTTTATTGTACCATTTTCAAAACATGAAAAAATTATGAAAGACTGACTTGATCTTCAGCAAGTAAATCAGTTGTAATATGTTCATGCGTATACTGCATTTAAAAGAAATCAACATGAATTGATCTCAGAGGCATCTGAATTAAAAAATTTTGTAAAATATAGGGTATTCTTTACAGACTCATAGGTAAGTCATCGTGTAAAAAAATGGCACAGATGGTCACAGTGATGCAAGATAGAGCACTGTTCTAATCTGTTATTCATTGGGTCACTGTGAGTTGTTGGCTTAGTGGCACTTAATAACAGCATGCCACAATGGACTTGACTGCGTCAAACCTGGTGAAGAATGGGAACATCAAAACCAAACCTGTGGCTTGTCAACTTGATTCTGTCTCATAGCAACTCCATAGGACAGGGTAGAACTGACCCATAGAGTTTCTAGGCTGTAGTATTTACTGAAGCACATCTTCCTCTAACGGAGAAACTGGCGGGTTCAAACCACAACCTCTTTGTTTCTGAGTTGAGCCGTAACTATTGTGCCACTAGGGCTCCAAATAAGAACATCTTATTTTAAAAAAACCTGTTGCTGTTGAGTCGATTCTGACTGATAGCAACCCAGTAGGAACAGGGTAGAAATGCCCCCCAAGGCTGTCAATCTTGACTGAAGCAAACTGCCACATCTTAAAGCACCTGATAGGCTCAAACCCCCGAGCTCTTGGTCAGCGGCCAAGTGCCTAGTCACTGTCAGGGCTTCTGAGTGGAGACCTATTGAAATACAGTTTTGGGGTTGTTGGGTGTTTTTTTTCTTGTTTTTTATTTGAGATACAGTTTTATCATTCTTGTATCTCTCAGCAAAAAAGACATCTGTGAAGAGGGGGTAATGAGCTGAAGCAAAATACAGAACAAAATGCTAGTTTTTGTCAATTTCAGTTGAAAGAAATAAACATGCTTTTTAAATTATATTTCTCTACATTTAAAATATGGATGGCACAGGATAGGAGGGGGTTCAGATTTGCTGTTCATAGGGTCGCTATGAGTCATACTCGACTCGACAGCACCTACAACAATAATATTTAAAAAATTATGTTAAAATAAAAGTACCTTGTACTTGACTTACCAAATAACTGAAAAATTATAAAGATAATAAAAAAGTTGCTGTGAAGTTAATGGAAGCATCATGGTGCTGCCTTATAATGATCCACTGACCCACGAGAAGAAAGAGTGAGAAAGTTCAGCCCTCTTCTCTGTATTTATGAACTATGGTTTTCTTTTTTTTTCTCTCTTCAGTTAGTGTATGGAGATATTTAGAAGTTAAATTGACTTGTTACTTTAAAATTTCTAATATGTATTTACATTCACTTTAAGGATGAACTAAGGCTCCAGATGGAAGCCCAACGTATATGCCTGTCTCTGGTTTATTCAACTCACGTGGATCAGGTTCGTGAATATATGGAAAATGAAAAGGATAAAGCTCTTTGCAATCTTAAAGAAGAACTTATTTCTGCCCAAGAGGAAGTGGTTGAGGAACTTAAAAAAGCACACCAGTTAGAGCTGCAGAATGCGAAAACACAAGGAACAGGTAAATTATTTTGGAAAAACTCCTAAGTGCAATAAAATAATAGGATGTAGAAATCCAGTGTTCTTTCATTGTTTTAGAATCTATGGAGGAAGGCAACTGTCTGTCTCTTTTTTGTGGTCTTTTGATTATATTATCACTGGATGTTCATTTCAATGCTTGTGACAGCTAAAGCCACTGAAAGAACTCATAGTCCAGTATAAAAACTTATGTAAAGAAATTGTAACTGTTAGAAAACAATAGCACTATTACGGTAATAGAAAAATGAATAGAAAGGCTGGAAGGAAGAGAGAAAAACAGTGCTTTCTGCGAGGATGAGTTAGGGAGAGAATGTGTGATTGGAGATTGGTATCTTCAAGATTTCTTGAGGAAGCATAGGACTATTAACAGACTGCAACAGCCACTTTGGAGAATTGAGAGATTAAGGTGTATGAGAGAGCTTAAAAAAAACCTAACCCACCTCAAAACTCATCATCACCTTTGAGTTGGAACCCACTCATAGCTGACCCTTCACCAGATTTTCAGAGGCTTTAATTCACAAGGTAGGAGATTGCCCATCTCTCTCCTGAGGAGCAGCTGATCGATCCGAATAGCCCAAGAAGCCCCTCATTTGGATTAGCAGTGCAACTCCCTACCCACTATGCCACCAGAGCAGGAGTTAAACCAGAAAGAAAGAGGATCTTGATCAGAAAAGGCTTTGGATGCCAAGAGTGGAACATTCTTCATCTTTATGTTATTGATAGTAAGACATGCTGCATGATTTTAACTATTCTTCACACTACTAATCTTGCAAATTAGTTGAGAGGCAAGATTAGTAATAGGAAGAATAGTTAAACAACTTTGGCAGTAATAACTGATAAGCAAAATATTGAATGAATGGAAGCAATGCCATTGAGAATGGGAGAAAAAAGTTAAATAGCTAGATCACATTTGATGTTGGTGCAGAGGGGCAGGAGTTGAGATGCCTAGATTTCTGTCTTTTGTAACTGGGTCAAATGCTTCACTATCAAATTTTAGGACAATTTATCACTTATTACATTCTGTGATTCTCAATTGTTTTGCATTAAAGGTATAAAATAATTTGGCTTGGGGTACAAACAAGAATGTAGAAGAAATGATCTTGAATTGTATTACATGTTTGTGCTTTCTTGTTTTCATCAATTAGAATGAATTTATGTTGAAACTTATTATCACTTACAAGCATTTCTTTCCAAAGAAAAAGAAATGTTTTTCTGGACAGAAGATGATTATGGTGTATTTTGCTAAGGAAATAATGAATTGCCTATTTTCTTTTATTCATGTAACTTAGATGTCATTCATAAAAACACATCATCTCTGCATGATAATACAAAAGTGAAACAGCTTGAAGAGCGAGTACAAGAGTTAGAAGGCCTCACAGCATCTTTGCAGCAGCAGTTGAAAGAAGCTGAAGAAGACCACGAAGCAGAGATTAATTCTCTGCAGAAGAGACTTCAGTCGAGGTATCTGTATACTTCAAATTGTATTCAATGGTATTTATAGTTCAGGATTAATCCTGGTGTCACCCTGGAGTGATTATTTTAAGGGGAAAAATAAGACTACGGCACATCTTCTTGAAAGTGATGAATTATAGCAGTATTTAAAAAAAAGAAAGAGAGTGCTTTCTCTTTAAAATGTATAAAATGATTATCAATGTAAACCTGAACTTCTATGCTAAGAATTACTGTACTTTACATAAACATGCTAATCAGTATTAATCTGCTAAGTAGCTCTTTTTTGTGCATAGCCTCACTTTTGCTAATTTGCTATGTTGTTTTTGTTATGTACTGTAGAATTGGAACGAACTAATAGCTGACCAACCCTTCAGCAGGTTTTCAGAGGTAGTAAATCACATGGGAGGAGATTGTCCATCTTTCTCCTGAGGAGCAGCTGGTAGATTCAAACCACAAGCTTTTGGGTTGCCCGCACAACTCCTTACCACTAAGCCATTTGTTATAAAGAATATAAAGTATGATCCTACCAGTTATGTCTTATCTTCTGCTTGGTTGTCTAATGAAAAAAGAGTCCCTAAGTTCTGCAGAGGGTTAAGGGCTGGATAACTAACAAAAAAAGTTGGCAGCTTGAACACACCAAGAGAAGCTGAAAAGAAAATGCTGGCAAATTGCTTCCTAAAGGTCACAGCCTTGAAAACCAGGGACAGTTTTTCTATGAATCATAGGCCTTCACTGTTTGTTCAAATATAGTCAAAGGCAACTAATTTGGGTTGTTTTGCTTTTATAAATAACTCCATAACATTTCAAAGTAGACTTCATAAAATGATATAAAATGTAATGGGGTCTATTAAAATATTCTGTCACTCAATTTTACCACTTTACTTTTTAGTGAAAATATTACCTAATACTCTAGCACACAAAGAACCCTGGTGGTACAGCAGTTAAGCATTTGTCTACTAATGGGAAGATTGGTGTTTCAGATCTACCTAGCAGTTTGAATGAAGAGAGTCCTGGCAATCTTTTTCCTAAACATTACAGCTTAGAAAACTCCATGGGGTACTTCTCTGTCAAATGAAGAATCAAAGTCAACTGAGTGATAACGAGCAGCTACCACCTCAGTGCACATTTTATACACATTATTAATTTGTATTAACAATAAGACACAGACTCATAACTCTGATTCTTTTGCACTTTATAAATTTGTTTTTAGCTTGTCTGTTGCTTCAATGATGATTACTGAATCAGATGTACGGAAAACCACTTATCCTGGACATTGTCTTCAACAGAATGTTGGCAGTGCCGTAGAGGTATTGTACTTTTAAACTATTATATACATTACCCCTTTTTTTAATTCCTATCATTTTTATTTCTGTAGTTTACTAAATATCCAATAAATACATAGTTACTCAGAGGTAAGAGGTAGTGTCTTACATACTTCATAACAGTACCTTGCATAAAAGATTCCAAAAAATGTACAAGTCATTTAGCATGTTTTTGCTGTATAAAAAATAGAGATCATTAAGTTCATGGTTTTATTTTTAAAATGTATTTTTGTTGTTGTTGAGATTATGCATAGCAAAACATGCACCAGTTCAACACTTCTGTGTGTGTTAGTGACATTGGTTATATTTTTGAGTTGTGCAAACCTCCTTTTCAGAAGTGTCCATCATTATTAACATAAATTCACAGCATCCTGCATTTCCCATCTAATCTTTCAATAACAGCTGTTGTCATATTGATCCTGTATAGATAATTATAAGAAGAGAATAAAGCTGAAGGCAGATATTTTTTCCCTAATTAAGTTAAACTTGTTTGATTTTAAGAAGACTTAGGGGAATATTTTTGGTTTAAGATTTACTTTCTTCTGTGGGCAGTAGTTCCAGAAGTCCAACAACATTCATGGCTCTAGGAAGTCTGGAGTCCATGAGAATTTAAACTTGTACTCTGCATTTTCTCCCTTTTTTTATCAGAATTATCCTGTGAATTTCAGTTAAAATGTTCAGTAATGATAGTCAGGCACCATTCATTTCTGGTCTCTTGCAAACAAGGCAGTTGTTCATGTTTGTCTTTTGTTCTCTGATGCTTTTTGCGATTTGAGACAGATTGTTATACCTTAGATGGCAACTTGCAAGGGTCTCCACATAACCAAGTAGGAGACTAGTACCTAACATTGTTAGACTTCTACTATGGACTATCTCATGAAACCGTGACTCTGAATTTCAGAACCAGGGGGTTCTGAAAATCCTCTGAGGTCTTACCTTGTTCATGAGCAGCCTCAGCAGCTGCTCTTTCTTGTTGCTATTGCTGTCATTGCAAATATATCACACAACTTTTGCCAATTCATCCTTTTATGAGTAGACAATTTATTGACAGCTGTCATAATAAACAGCTGAGCAACCTTGCCCTTAATTGATGCCATATTTCCACCACTATTCATTCTCCCCTTTCTACTTCTCTTCTCCCCCAGTCGCCACTAATAAATTTTGTTCTATTATGCATTTACCTTTTCTTGTCTTTTTATGCAAATAAAGCTATGCAGTACTTGTCCTTTTGTGACTGACTTTACCTTCATCTACATTGCAACATGCATCAAGATTTCATTTCTCTGTTGGCTGAGTGTAGTATTCCTTTGTGTGTATGTATAATATTTTGTTTATCTGTTAATGAGCATTTAGGTTGTCTCCTCCTTTTGGGAGGCTACTGTAAATAGTACTATAAGGAGCAACAATGAACAAGTTTTTGTGTGAGTTTCTGCTTTCGTCTTTTGAGTGTGTACCTAGGAATGAAATTACTGGATCATAAGGCAGTCTGCTTTTTAGTTTTAAGGAACCACCACACTGTATTCCACAAAAGCAGTACATTTTTGTTTCTACCAGCAGTTCATAAAGATTATGACTTTTCCATATTTGAACTGACATTTGTTATTTTCTGTTTTAGTCATCAGCATCCTAAGAGGAATGAAATGGTTTCTCATTGAGATTTTAATTTGCCTCCCTGATGTCCGGTGACCCCAAGCATCTTTTCATGAGTTTAATGGCCATTGAATTTCTTCTTTGATGAAATGTCTAATCAAATCCTTTAGTCATTTTATTTTGTTGTTGTCAAAGTTTTATATATGTTTTTATTATTAGACTCTTGACCACAATACGTTTTCTAAAAATATCCTCCCAGTCACTGGGTTATCTTTTAATTTTTTTGGTAAAGCCTTTGATGAACAAAAGTTTATTTTTATAAGATCCATTTTGTTCTATTTCCTGTTCTTGCCTTTGTGACTATGTTAGATAATCTGTTATTAAACTGATAAGATTGCCCTTGCTTTTTCTTCTTTGAATTTTCTAGTTTTAATTTGCACAGTCAAATTTTTAATCCATTTTAAATTTTGGTTTGTGTATTTTGTGAGCTTTAGTGATATGGTACGGTACATAGGGAGTTGTACTGCTAACCCAAAGGCATACAACTCTGATCATTGGAATGCACTAGCAGGGGGAAGATAGGCAGTCTAGGCTTGTATGATTTACTGCCTCAGAAACCCATTGGAAGGCCAGCTATGAGTCAGTTTTAACTTTAGAACAATGAGTATAGTATAATATGGGACATAGATCCTGTTTCCATGTTTCTCCACGTGAAATTCCAATTTTCTCAACAGTATTTGTTGAAAAGATTCTGCTTTCTCTGTCAAATGGAGTAAGCACCCTTTTCAGGAATCACTTGGCTAGAAATGTGTGTATGTCTTTCTAGGCCCTGAATTCTTTTCCATTGGTCAGTGTCTCTCTTTTGTACAATCTGGTGGCCCATTAGAAAGAAACTGCACTGCAGTTCCAAAGGCCCACAGTTCTAGTCCACCAGCTGCTCTGTAGGAAAAGGATGGGCAGTTTCCTCCAGTACGATTGACCGCCTCTGAAACTCTCTGGAGGGTCAGCTGTGGGTCAGTTCCAACTCGACCATACACAAAACACAACAGCTCTTTTTTCTTACATGAACTAGATAGTATGTTTTAAAATAAAGAAGTATAAATTCTCACACTTTATTCTTTTATTTCAGTATTGACTTAGCTGTTTGGGGCCTTTTGCCATGTTTTATAAAAGTGAAGATTGGTTTTCTTTTTCTATAAGTAAGGCTTTTAGAATTTTTATCATTTTGCAATGCATCCATAGATTACTTTGTATTGACATCTTAGCAATAATAAGTCTTAAAACTTATGAACATGGAACTCTCTCCACTTATTTAAGTCATCTTTAGTCTCTTTGAAAATGATTTTATACTTTTCACTTATAAGACCTTAATGTCCCTGTTTAGATTTATTCCTAGTTACAATAGCATCTCTGATTTATCCTCTTAGAGGTTATTATAAATGGAAATATTTCCCTTTCAGATTTCTCTTTACTGATGTGTAGAAATTCATCTAATTTTTGTTTACCTTTATATCCTATAGCTTTGCTAAAGTCCACTATTAGCTCTAGAAGGCTTTTTGTGGACTAGAGAATTTTTTATGTAGGCGTATATGCACAAATAGAGATCATTTTATTCTTTCCCAACAGGTTGCATTCTGGTCTTTTTCTGTTGCTTTTGCTAGACTTCTGATACAAAACTGAGTAGAAATGATGTGTGCAGGTACTTTTTTCTTGTCCTCAATTCCAGAGGTAAAGCAGTTAGTCTTTCTTCATTAATTATAATGTTAGCCATTCACTTTTCATGCTGTTGTTGTTAAGTGCTATCAAGTTGAGTGCAACTCCTAGTGACACTATGAACAAAAATCTGAACCCTTTTCTATCCTGTGCCATCTTCACACCTCCTGACACACAAGAGCCCATGGCTGTTGTCTCCATGTCGGTCCACCTGGTTGAGGGGCTTCCTCTCCTTCGATGACCCTCCATCCATTCCAGCATCATGTCCTTCTCCAAGGAATAGCCCCTCCTAGCAACATGCCCAAAGTATGTGAAGCAAGGCCTCATAAGTGCTCTACATTATATTAAGGAATTGTCCTAATCCAATCTTCTATTGAGTGTTCTCTTTAAAATTTGGGGGGGAAAGGTGTTGCATTTGATCAAATGCTTCTCTGTATTCAGATGTTCTTGTGGTTGTTTTCCTTTGTTCTCTTGATCTAATGTGTTACATTTATTGTCTTTCTAATGTTTAACCATCCATGGATTCCTAGAATAAATTCTATTTGGTCACAGTGTATGATTCTTTTAATATACTGTTGTATTCTTTTGCTAGTGGGGTTTTTCTTTTGTATGTGTGGTTTGTTTTTTTTTTTTTTACACACACACTTTGTCAGTTAAACAAACAAGTTCTCTTTTGATTTGTATTAAGGCAACCTGGCAAAAGCATGTTTAAGATTATCTTCTTTCACTGATTATCTTTTACTAGTATTTTTTCAGAAGATTTTTATATTCCTGTTCATAAGAGATACACTGACTTGTACCTTTATTTCTTCTTTTTTTGTTGTTGTTATCTTTGGGTTTGGATTCAGGGTTATTTTAGCTTCATAAAATTAATTCCTATCTTCCCTGTTTTTTGGAACAACAATATTGATGTGAATTTTTTTCTGAATGTTTGGTAGAATTCCTTAGTGAAATCTGGTCAGATTTCACTGAGGAACTTTTTAGATATCTTTCAATCATTATAAATTTATCAAGACCTTCTTTGTTAGCTAACCTTGTGATGTGTTCTAAAGAATGATACATGTACAGTGGAGTCTATCTATATTGTGCTATGTTTTGGTAGAGTGTTCAAAATATGTCTTATTAAGCATAGTGGGTTTATAGTGTCATTCAGGTGTCCTGTTCTCTTCTTGATCTTCTTTCTAGATGTTCTGTCCAATATTGAAAATGGCAATATAACTATAAATGTAGGACTATCTATGTTTTCCTTAAATTCTGTCAGTGTTTGCTTTATATACTTAGGTACCCTGATGTTGGAAGAACTCTGGGGGGCTAATAGAAAGGAACTGTGCTGCCATCCCCAAAGCGCATAGTTTGAATCCACCAGTAAATCTGTGGGGAAAAGATGGGCAGTCTCTTCCTCTGAGATTTAGAGTCTCTACAGACCCACTGAAGGAACACTTGAGAGTTGGTTCTGACTCAACAGCACATACAACAGACACAATTTGGGATGCTTACATAATTATGATTACTATTATCTTCTTGATTAATCAACCTTTTTATACAGTGTCCCTCTTTATCTCTTTTGATAGATGATTTTTCTCTTCTTCAGTTCCACTTTTTCTGGGAATAAGATTACCATCCTAGTTGTCTTTTGGTTATGTGCACAAAGTATATTTTTCAATCTTTTCAATTTTAATCTG